GCACACTATATTCTCATGAAGAGAATTGCAAGACTCGCAGAAGAGTTTTTGATGACTCACGAAGAGTTTTTCTCCTAGAAGTGAGAATATTTCTTATAGCAGAGAAAATGATTTCCGGAAGAATAAGTTGATCCCCGTAGGACTATGATAATGTATGAATTACTGGTTAATCTCCATATAACACCGATAACTCGTACTCCCATGAAGTGGACAGACCCGTTCAGACGAATGAATTGGAAAATCACATCCACTAGTATGCAAGTGGATCGGTAGTTTTCTACATACTATGAAGGTGTAAGAATTTATATATCATGAAGATATACTTATTGATGGTATTTGGCAATCTTATTAATTCCCCTAATGCCAAAATATAGACCGGTTTATGTCACCCTAAGTGGTTTAAGCTAATTGTTGAAGATTACTGAAACAATCAAATTGGTAATGATTGATAAATCCACTAAGAGAAAGTTGCATAATATTTAACCTCTTGTATTGAGCTAATTATTTTATACATACCGCATATGTGTATCGTTGCAACTTATTTTCCCATAGTCCTCCGTAAGGATAAAACTTTGTTTTTATTGCACATTTGAATAAGTGGTTATACATATTGCTCCTATACGTTGATTTATTTCTCATGTTCATAGTAGAACTTATGAAATAAGTAAACGAAAGATTAAACATTGTGATAATTTTATTATCATTGTTTTACACATTAATAAAAATGTGGTTATGACATTGGAGCATGGAAGTTTCAACGGATGTCTTATTGAGGGGGAGCATATATGCTAAACATTGATTATCATACATAAGACTTTGAAGTCTTATATTTGATTTACCAAGAATTAATCAAATTAATCATTGTTTTGATAATTTACCTTGAAGGTTACTACCGCTATATTGTTGTGTTAATCCAAGTTGATTAATATAATAAAGCATATAGATCATTAGCTATTTATGAAGAATAGTCGATCTTAAAGATTATGCGATCAAGAAGATCGTGTGTTGTACTCTTTTTCCCTTAGTGAGTTTTTACTTGAATATTTCTCACGCAAGGTTTTTAACGAGGCAACAAGTGCAATATAACTAGCGTATATGATGTACTCTTTTCTCCTAACCTTTTCTCCCACTGGGTTTTTGGAGTTTTTAATGAGACATGTGTATAGCGCGGTATTCGCCCAAGGGGAAGTGTTATGAAACTATTATCTCCTGCTAGAGATAAATATGAGCTCATACCAAATATATGGAAACATATCATAATAGGACTCTTCCTATTATGGGTATATATACTGAGAGAGAGGGCTTGAGAGGTTGGTTGATGTATCCGCATATGGTTAAAACAATAAAGCTGTGAAGCCCCTCCCTATATTCGTGTTCATCTACTATATGATTGTGTGCATGAGATCATCGTCTTCTACTCCGGATCAGCGAATAGACCACTGGTTATTCAACAGGACCTTCGCCTCTTACTCTTTTTTTTCTCCGTCACGCACGGGAGAAAGAGAGAGAGAAGCTGTTTTGTGTGTCCGATTTGTAGTTTTGTCTTATTTGTTTTTGTTTTTGTGAGCTTTTATAATTTTGCTACATATCAATAAAGTATTTGCTATTTTGTATTTTGTCATAGTTTCATTCTGTTTTTGTCAGATTTTTATAATTTTGGTACACATTAATCAGTTTATCGCTTATTTAGACCATAGCCTTCACCACTAAAAATCTCATTCTTAATTCCGCTATTTGCTTGCTAGAAATTTATCAGGACGTGACACCCCATTTTTTTTCCTGAATCGATCATGCACTCAATCAAATGTAACTGAACTGGATAGTAGGCAGTAGACCTGTTGGAAATCGATGGATCAAGATCATTTTTAAGTATATTTTGTTTTTGTCGGGTTTTTAAATTTTTGAAAAGAGGTTTTTTTTTGTTGAACTAGAAGAGCATATCGCTCCTCCCATTTCCATTAAGAGAAATTTTTGAAAAGAAGTGGTTTTGACATTTTTCAGTGTATCATTTTTCAAAATAAGTGGTTCAAGGAGATGTCATTTTTTGGTGTACTGATTTTGTTAGATCTGTCATTTTTGTAATTTGCTAGTTTTGTGAGAAGAAGTTATGTCATTTCTGTAAAGCTTCGTCACTTTTGTGAGAAATAGTTCTGTCACGCAAGAATTGTACTTTGTTTTATATTTTGTTCAGACCAGTGACGATTGACTCAGTTCGTTTCTCGCTTTGGTGTGTGAATTTCAAAATGAGCTTGCTGCCCGAAGCATGGACCGACAAGGCGTAGAGGCGGCTACTAATATCAATGTTTCTAAAATTTTTCAAAAGAAGTAGTACGTTTTGTCATATTTATATTTTGTTTTTTTTAGTTTTTATTTTTTTCGAAAGAAGTGGTTTTGTCATATTTGTATTTTTGTATTTTGTTCCTTTTTTGAATTTTGTTTTTGGTATAGTGGCAAATTTTGATTTAAATTTGTTTGTTTTTAAATTGTTGGTTTTGTTTATTGTTATTTTTGTTTTTGTCCCTTTTTATAATTTTGGTACATATTAATCAAGTTGATGCGCTATCTTCATGATAGTAACTATAAAATCATATTATTTAGGTCATAGCCTATATCTTCTGCTAGTTTTGTATTTGTTTTTGTTTTTGTCCGATTTTTATATTTTTGCTACATATTAATTAGGTTGATGCTTTTTTCAGTTTTTTTATTTCTTTTTTAAAAAGTGGTTTTTGTCATATTTTTATTTTTATTTTGTTTTTGTCATTTTTTAATTATTTTAAAAATAGGTGGTTTTGTCATATTTGTGTTTGTTTTTTTGTCAGTTTTTTAAATTTTGCAAAAAAAAATGTTTTGTGTGTCCGATTTGTAGTTTTGTCTTTTTTGTTTTTGTTTTTGTGAGCTTTTATAATTTTGCTACATATCAATAAAGTATTTGCTATTTTGTATTTTGTCATAGTTTCATTCTGTTTTTGTCATATTTTTATAATTTTGGTACACATTAATCAGTTTATCGCTTATTTAGACCAAAGCCTTCACCACTGAAAATCTTATTCTTAATTCCGCTATTTGCTTGCTAGAAATTTATCCGTGACACCCCGCCTCCACCGATATTTTAAGATGAAGAAGCAGTGAACTCCCTCTTGTACTTTTAACCCCTTCATTTTGCAGACTGCGTAGTGTCTTGTGAGCTTAACTCCAGCAGTAAAGTATTTCTTGATTGTCAATATTCTCAGCTCTTAGGATACGTTACTTTTCACCTTTGAGGTGCAGTTCATCCAACGTTCTGCCCTCACTCAAGTTTCTTCAGAAAAGCCCGTCTTTTCCACTAAATCTTACTTTTTGTTCAGATATGATTCCAACACGCAAATCTCTGCCAAATGCAAACTCTCTGTAATTGTTTGGGGTTAGCCTTTTTATCACCTGTTCATCTTTCTTTGTTTTCTGTTTTGGAATGAGTTCACTTTGAGTCAAAATCGAGTACAATGGGTCCCCCAACTTATGAAATCAGTGCAAACGAGATCTCTCGTCGGTATTATCCTCGGTTTTGGCTGGTGTGGTGCCTACATGGCCTCTTTGACCAAGTCTTCATCCCACATGTCATTGACGTGACGCATACTTGGCAATTCGATAAAAAATATAAAAGCAGCAAATTGAAAATAAAAAATTAAAACAAAAATATGTGGGACCCACATTTTAGCCAAAAAGTACAAATGGGACCCACATGTCAGTGGGTCCTACTTCTTCAACCTCACCCCTCTCTACCTCTGTCTGCTTCTTCAACCACGCCGAACGTGCAGGCAGCGGCAGGCGGTGGGAGAGGAGCGGCGTGCGGCAGCCGGTGGGCGACAGGAGAGGAGCGGCACGCAACGCATCTCCATCCTAGCACCATCCTCTCCGACCGGTGTGCTCCTCATCTCCAGCGATGCCTCCTCCACGAAGGAGTCCCTCCTCCCTCTCTCCCGTCGACCGGTACAACCCTACCACCACTGGATGTTGGAGCAGCTAAGGTTTGGTGAGAGAAGAGGAGAAAGAGCCGGAGGAGGAGGGCCTGGCGGGCAACCCCAACGCCGAGGTGGAGGAGGCGACGAGCCCTTCCGCCGAGTCATCCACCGCTTCCCGGAAGAATCCGGCGAGGGGGGGGGGAGGGGGGGTAACCGCCGAGGCCGCCGCCGACATCTCCCTGCTCGAGGCCACCCTCAGCGAGAGCAGCTCCCCGTCGAGGCCGCCGTCAAGAATTCCCTGCCCGCGGCCGACGAGGAGAAGGAGGATAGTAGCTCCCAACCCTTAGTACCCGTCTTGCTGTCAGCCTGCTCTGGCCACCGCTCGCCCCGCTACACCAGCCGATCGGCCGCCGCTTGTCCCGCTCTGCCAGCTGGAGAGAGAGATGGGGTATATGTTTTTAATGGCATGGTCTATTGATAAATTAATTAAATTATTAAAAGCAAGAGTAGTGTGGATGATATGTGGGGTCACATGGGCCCCACTATTTTTTATTATTTTGCATGTGAAACTGACATGTTGGTCCCATGGCTTTAATTATTTTTCCAGGATCAAATTGCCACGTAAGCGTCATGTCAATGCGACGGAGGGCGAAGACCTAGTCAAAGGAGCTACGTAGGTGCCAGGTCAGCCATAACCTGGCATAATACTACCGAGGGAACTTGTTTGTACTGTTTTGTAAGTTAGGGGATGCGCTGTATCCGGTTTTACGGTACACGGATGAATTTCGGACTGGGTGACAAATAGAGGGACGTCAAGTGAACTTATACGTTTTGTTTTCTATTTTTGACAACAAACGGGCTTGAAGCCCAGATCCAATAAACTTGTTCGGATAGAGCGTGTTGTTTTGCTGGGCTTTTCTGAAGATGACAAACAGGCCTGCAAACAAGATCCGACCCAAAACAAAGGCAAGGGGCGCGTGGGAGGAGGCAACGGAGCAGTGGGATGACGACACGTGCGCGCATCGTATGGCTATAAATTGGGCTGTAACTACAATTTTTTTCAGCCGTGTATCACATAGAGACTCCAAAAAAAAAAAAAAAATCAAAACCAACCGCCGCCGGCTCCCAGCCTCCCCTCTTTTCCTCCCATCCGACCGGCGGCGAGCCGGCGGTACGCAACGCTCTCGCGCATCACCCCGCCCAACTCCGTTACACAGAGCCGCCGCCGTCGGAGGGTCGGCCGCCGCACTCGACGGGATCCCCTCCCTCATCTTTGCTGCCCCCCGGCGGAGGCCGGAGTTGATCTCTTTGGTAAGGCGGCCACGAAACAAAACTTTCGCCGTGCTTGAGTAGTTTATCGGATTGTAGTTGGTTGTTAATTAGAATAGATGGGACCTGAAAGCTTCAGCTCTCTAGATTGGGGATCTTTCCCTTGTTCGTCTCATGGGGCATCTTCCTGGATGCAACAGAGTTCAGCCATCGTGGTGCCTGTAGCCATGTGATCCGTGGATTTATAATTGCAATTAGTGTTTCAGGATGAGGGAAGTGCAGAGATTGCACCTTTTTCGTTTTTATTCAACCACTATGCAGCCACCGGAGCATCAAGCTGAGCCCAAAAATCCCACCTTTCCTAGGGGGGGGGGGGGCACTACAGATAATGCTCGCTGTGTATCTAAAAGAGAGCCGGCGATTGTTGGAGAAATCATGGTGGCAGCTAATTCAGTCATGCTCCTTCAGAAATATTCATTTTTTTAGCTGAAGTACTAATTGTTTGATCTTTTACTCTGTGTAGTTGGAACAGCATATATTCGTCTCTTTAATTAATGAGGCGAATGAAGTCACGTCATGGAGCAGCAAAAAGGGCCCCCGAAAAAAAGCCAGGCATTTTTCAGCTTGATGATATTCCTGAGGTAAATGCCAACTGCTATGACTAAAACTTGCTCGCTAGACTCATTATCCAAATTGGTCACTGCTACATTTCTCAAACTATTTTGCTTGCCCTTGGTTTGCAGAATGCTGTGTTCATGATACACCAGCTGTTATCTCTGAGAGATGCTGCACGTGCCAGTCTCCTAACTCGAAAGTGGCTACGTGTTTGGAGATTCTACCCTAATTTAGAGTTCACTACAAAGGCATTGGGTCTGAAGAAACGAATTCACAAAGTACAGAGGAGGGCAAAGTTTGTCAGTTGTGTTAATACTGTCATACGACACCATGCTGGAACTGGGGTGAAGTCATTCATCATCAAGAAAAACCTCAATAATCAGAAGTACACCCATTATCTTGACCGTTGGATGTACTTCGCAGTCAGTTCAGGTGCCAAGGAACTGACTCTTGACTTACGTCCACAAAGGTTTATTCATTACCGTAATATCCAATACAACTTCCCATCATCTAATTTTGCTACCCCCATGCCTACCTCCGTAGAACATCTGAAGCTCTTGTTTTGCTATTTGAGGCCTTCACCAACATTTTTTGGCTTGAGTAACCTGAAAACACTTGAGTTGAGCTTTGTACGTATAACTAAAGAAGATTTGGAGAGCTTGTTAAGCTATACATTTTCCTTACAAGAGTTGAAGTTAAGTCAGTGTCCAAACATAGATCACTTGAGGATCCCTGATGTGCCATCTAAGCTCAACTACCTTGATATTGATTTATGCTGGATAAGAGCACTGGAAATACACATTCAAAATCTAGTTATCTTTAATTACCATGGAAGTGTTCGCTTTAGAATCATACAAGGAGAAGGATCTTTGTTTAAAGAGGCACGGTTTCAGTTCTCGTGTGGGGACGCTATAGAGTATGCTATCACAGAAATGGCTCCAGCTTTGCCAAATCTTGAAACACTGTTTCTGATTGGATTTTCTAAGGTTTGTGAATGGAACCAACTTCTTTGAGAAATTTTCACAAATATTCTATCCTGACTTCTTGACCGTATTGTATATGCAGATGGTTATTCCAACCAGAGATCCAAGACATAGGTTCCATTGCCTGAAGCACTTACAGCTGAAAATGATAATGCTCTCAAAGAAATACAATAACCTCTGCCTTGTTTCTTTTCTTGATGCTGCGCCATTTTTGGAATCACTTATTGTGCATGTAAGTTTCTCAACATCTGTTGCTTTAGTATTTGGAGGAGTGACGGAATAGAGGGTAATTGAAGTTAACTTTGCGCCTTTTGTTCTACTTGCGAATTGCAGAATGCGTTTTTTTTTTATGATCCTGTGCTTTTATTGGTTTAGATGGAAAAATGCATAATATCTGAGACAATATGTCTCACTTATTCCTAAAGTTGTGCTGCATTTTCAATTTGGTCCATAGACATTAAAGCCTTCATAACACATCCATGCACTTGCAAATGTTTATTTGCAGGTGGTGCAGTCCAGAACTTAGAAAGATAATAATAAAAATGATAACATAAGTACTAAAACAGTGAAAATCCTGACTAATCTAGAGATAAAATCATTGTTAACAACCTGCATGCTGAAGATATTTTTATCATATTTGGGCTGAAAAAATTTCTTGAGAAGAAATTTGTAACCGGATGAGGTTGCATACTTGCATCTTCGAGAAAAACTTAAGGGGAAAATACATTCTATGGATGGCCTAATACTCTTGTGGCTTTGGATCGAGTGTCAATCATACAGTCACACCAATGGTGAGCAAAGGAGAATATGAACTTGTGACAGACTGGAGCATGGTATCTTCCACATAGACAAGGATCAAGTCGATAGAAAATAATCGTGGTAGAAGAGGAACCATTTTATTATTTCTGGTATATAGCTTTGCTAGGAGCCTCTTTACTGGACCTTCAGGATTCATTTGGCAAGATTTCTGACTTAAGTGAACAGGACCTATCCCTTTGCAAGTTGCATGCTGTTGTACATATACTCCTAGCTTAATGGTTTGTTTGCATTTTTTCTTTGACATAGTTGTTTATTATTCTATGATTGATTTTATTGGAAACTTTTTTTAATAATGATTCATGCCCTACTATATGTCTTGGTGTGTTGATATTTATTTTAAAGATAACACGCATTGGTTTCTGATGGTTACCCTTGGTCTGCAATGGATCGCCTTATTTTAATAATGATTCATGCCCTACTATATGTCCATGGTTACCCTTGGTCTGCAATGGATCGCCTTATTTTAATAATGATTTCTGATGTTTTCCAGACCTTTCTTATTATGCTTAACACCCTCACTTTTTTCCCTATACTTTTCGTAGGTATGCAACGGATCACTTTATTATCCTGGAAAGAAAACAGACTTGAGAAGGCTCGAGAAACGTGAACCGCATAAAAACCTCAAATTTGCGAAGATGACCGGGTTTGATGGAGAACGATCAAGCATTGAGCTTGCACTGCACATCCTGGAGAGCTCAACTAACCTTGAGTGCCTCATTCTGGATCCTAGAAAATATAAATCCGAGTGGAAATATATTTATGAAGAGAACTTGCGCGATGTTCAGTGGAGAGTACATAATTTCACTATTTCGGAATACATTGCAGAGGCAGTTCCTTCACATGTTAAATTATTGTTTTCATGATTCTCAGGTGTGCGGCTATAACCATTGTCTTGAACTCTCCACCACATTTGAGATTGGGTTTGAGTTATGAAGCCGGCCATCTGCTGGTGTTGTCGTGCTCATAGTTTTGCATTTATGGTGGTGCCTTTTTCTTTTGGGGAAAAAATGTATATGCTCACTTCTCACATGTACCATTAATTCTTGGTGTTGCTAGCTTATCTCAAGCACATATCAGACAATGAATATTTTCATCCAGACTAGTACTAGTAGTTATGCAAGTTCAAAAGGTTGAATTTCCCTAATGTGGTCATGGTTTCGAAGTATAAAATGCTGAGAATAATTCTAGATTTGAAATTATAGCATTGAAATTTTGAATTTTGATAATCAAACATTTTAATTCAGTTTTTTTTCTTAGGTTCTCTCTCCAGGTTGAAAATAGCGTTTTGGATTTGATTGCCAAATGTAATTTTGACTATGAATAACTTATAAAATATTTGTCCTAGAAACATGGGAAACATGGAGATCATATTATAACTAGCAAAAATGCCCGTGCGTTGCAATGGGTGGAAAATTTTTAATGATAATATATGTTTTTCATGCATAACCATATTAATGGCAATGTTTGTATGGATCGTTTGTAGCTAAGACAATTAGAAAATTGGAACATCTTCAATATAATGGCCCAACCTCAACGATGGCAACCTTATTGATGTTTGCTTTACCTAAAATAATTGGATTATTTATGTGACAACATGCATATAATTTCAAATACTCTTTTAATCTCATTCCTGCAACCAATAATAGGACCAATCAAATCCTACACTGTCTTGCATGGTCAAGTCTACACAAAATAGAGTCATTGAGCACTCTTATCTAAATAACAATTAAAAATATGTTCATTTTTTAATATTATTTCCATATAATATGTTATCAAGAATAGTAGCTATACTTAACAAAAAATAGTTTGATAATTGCCTACAAAGATACACAGGGTCTCTAATACAGGAGAATAAATGATGAAACAAAAGCCGTAGAGGAGATGGAAAAAAACCGATGATCCTATCTGACCCAAGGGTCCATCAATTTAGCTTTTTTTTTTTTGGCCGTTTTCTTAGAGCGCCTTGTATTTTTATAAATGGTATCCTTTTTCTTGCGTGATTTTTTCAAACCAGTTTTTAAGAAATGGCGTGTTTTTGCATGTTTTTTTCTTTTTTAATGGCGATGGAATTTTTTTTTTGTTCTCGTTCTTTTTTTTTTGTTTTTTTACGGATAAAGGAAACCTTTTTTTCAGCACATTTTCTTTTGGAGGGCAGCTACCCCACGGGATTCCGTTGTTGCAACACGACAGTCATGGGATAAAATTAACACCCGACAGATTTAATACAGATTCCTCCTTCCGACCGAGCCCCCAACCAGAACCCGGCTCGGTATCGATACCTCGCTGGCGGACAACTGCTCAGAGCAGGAGTGCTCCTTCCTTCGGTCGGCCAGAACCCTGCTTTGCACGCAATACCTCGCCAACGCCGCCTGCAACTACTACGAGCAAGACTCCCCCCGCCAGAGAAAGAGAGGAGGACTTTGGTTGCGATAACAAATAGGAGACAAGGATCGAGTCTAGGGAAGGGAGAAGAGGAGAGAACACATGTGGTGCTTGATACTTGATACCTCGTAGCCAGCCATGATACCTAATGCCTTACAGGTGCCCGGTACCAGGTCTGATACATGATACCTTACAGGTGCTAGGTACCAGGTCTGATACCTATGGATACCAGCCATGATATCGTAGGTACTAAGCATGGTACCTACTGGTATCATGTCTGATACCTGGGTATCAAACGTGATACCTACAGGTCTACAGGTATCAGACGCGATACCTATAGGTACCAAAGTATCATGATACCACTAAAGTATCACCGCAATAAAGAACCAAAAAATCATATGTTTATCAAGAGAGAGTTGAATAAAAACCAATAAAGGAAATCGATTCCATGAATAAGTCATCATAATTGCAGAATCACCCATAGAACATGTAGAACCCAAAATCAAACGCAGAACAAGACAACACAGATGCTTAGAGGTAGAACCCAAAATCAAACGCAGAACAAGACAACACAGGAGCTTGGAGGTAGAACCCAAAATCAAACGCAGAACAAGACAACACAGGAGCTTGGAGGTAGAACCTAAAATCAAAACACAGAACAAGACAATACGGGAGCTTGGAGGTCGAGATCCTTGATCTGGGTGTACGGATCCACACCACAAGAGGTCTCTTGTCCTTGATGATGGTGACCTCGTCGACGATTGCCACCTTCTGGAATGTGGTGAGCAGCTCCGCCTCCATCATGTGCTTGGGCAGTGCACCTACCTCACGAACAGCTTCACGATCTCCTCCTCTACTCCGTCCACGGCTCCACCAGCAGCAATGGCGGCGGCGGTGATGGCAGCTTCCTCCACGCCCGACGCGCCACCCCGCAAGGCCAGCCGCGCCGTCGCCTCTGTGCTCCATGAGGGTGGTAGTCAGAAAGAGAGGGAGGGAGAGAGGGGAGGGAAGGGAAGGGAAGAGACGAGAGGATAAGGTTGAATGGGTGGTGTGAGGAGTGAGAGCTAGATATATAGTCGTAGTAGTTACTTATCCCGTGCCTATGGAAAACCGTTAGTTTTTCTGTTTCTTTTGAGCTTTTAATTGACATTATTTTCTCACACATTTTTTTAACTGCTTTCATTTTCTCGTGCATTTTTTATTTTTAAATGTACGATGAAAATTTCTTTTTCTAAATAGTAAGATTAGATTAGATTAGAGATAGAGAATATATATATACATACTACTAAAACGAATGAAAATGGGGCCTTTTTGCCGCGCTTTTTTTTTCTGACTTTTCTCTTTTCTTTTTCCCTGTTTTTAAGGGCAATCGGATCTACGGTTTTTCTTTTCTTTTTTTTAATCAGACTTTTTTTTTCTAGGTTGTTTTTGTATTTGGACTGCTAGTAGAGGCCGCGCTTTTTTTCCGACTTTTCGTTTTTTAGTTTCCCCCATTTTGGAATCGGATCTACGTCTGTTCTTTTTTTTCGCCGCTTTCGTAGGGGAGTCGGACTTTTTTTCTAGGTTGTTTTTTTCGCCTTCTTTTTTTTTTTGCAAAACCTACTCAAACACGGATGACAAACCGCGGAAACATCATAAATTTTTATAACCGACTCAAACACAGATGACGGACTGCGGAAACATCTTCAATTTTTATAATAGTAGAGAAGAGATAGAGATTAATCCAAAAATATATTTTGACAAAATCATATATTTGTTGATATTTCTATAAATATGTAATAGAAAATAGTGGTCAAAGTTATTTTTAAGGCTTTTTTAAAGAGTAAATTTCACTTTAGACCATCTTTTTATTACCGATGTTTCGTTTTGAATCACACTTTAAGGCTTTAACCAATGTTTTTACTTTGGACTGGATATTTTTATATTTGTGACTTTGGACCCCTCAACTATTTTATCCATCAGCATTCAATTTGTTATATGCCAAAAAAAATGATGAAACATATAAGGAGCTGACGTACTCAAGATCGTTTATACGCTAGAGAAGAGAGCCTGGATGGTCCAAACTGAAATAAAGGCAACTTTACCCGATCCAAAGTAAAAGCATTGATTAAAGAGTGGTCCGACGTAAAGCACCGGTAATAAAATTTAAAACCTAAAGTTCGTTGAGTATTTTTAATTTTGGCCGTGTTTAGATTCAAATTTTTTTCTTCAAACTTCCAAATTTTCCGTCACATCAAATGTTTGGACATATGCATGCATAGAGCATTAAATGTGGACGAAAAAAAACCAATTGCACAGTTTGCATGTAAGTCACAAGACGAATCTTTTGAGCCTAATTACGCCATGATTTGACAATGTGATGCTACAGTAAATATTTGCTAATGACGGATTAATTAGGCTTAATAAATTCATCTTGCAGTACATTTAATACTTCAAATGTGTATCCGTATACTTAAAAAAAATTGGCACACGAACTAAACACATCCTTTAAACTTTCTTATATTTTTTTAGAGCCAAAAACTGATATTCAAAATTATGGTTCCAAATGGCAACTGTTTTAAGCATACTATTTGTCCCACCAATACAATATATAGTGGCAAAATTGATTTTTTTTCCCAGCTAGAGCACATGTGAGAAGTGCACTACCACAGAGTATAATGGCATATATAGAAGGTTTCAGGAAATAGTGGTATATGTCAGAATTATATATAAAAGACAAACAAAATGTGTCACCTGGGTTTCGATTTTTTCCAAGGAAAAAGGTACTTCGGCTATAAAATTGTCCAGTAACAGCCAGCCGGACATACTTGTCTCATTTACTGCCATAAGGCCTCATTTGAAACAAACAATTTGGTAGGATTTAAATTCTATATGGAATTTACTTATTTCGCCCGTACACTTGAACTATAATTTCACCCGGCCGGAATTTTCTTATTCGATTGTTTGTTTCAAAGAATTTGATTTTTTTTCAAAATCCTACAAAATTTCTTTAGATTCCGTTCTTTTCAGCTTTTGGGAAGAGCTGCTATTTTATTTTCTGTGAGCACGCTTTCTAAATTGTTAAACAATGTATTTTTTTAATATTAGAGAAATTATTTAAAAATCAAATAAATATTTTTTAAAAATTTGTAACAGTTAATATTTAATTAATCATGTGCTAATTATCCACCTCATTTTACCTCAAAGGCTCAACCCAACAGCTCTGTCAAACTGAGCCTTAATGTATTTTTTTTCTTCAGTTTTACTTCAGTTTTTTAACTCCATGTTTCTTTTTCTTTTGAAACTTTGTAACTCCATGTTTTACGTGTGGAAATAGTCCAATATAACTCCCTCAACAAAATGTTCAATCTAATTCGTATCTCTCGACTACAAACAGGGTAAATCGATCCCTCAAACTATTAAAATAAACCATGCAAGATGTTTCCACGGTCTGTTTTAAGGACAGTTTTAGCTTGTGCAGAATGTTTACTTTGTCCACTTGGGCTGGTATGGCAGCCTATTCAGGAAGGAATTAAAAATAGAAGTGGGCCCACGTGGCAAGGGAAAAATAGAAAACTATTGTGCTCACTTGTTAGTGCCACTTCTCCCCTCTCTATCTTTTTCCCAACCATAACATGCTCCGTGGCAGCTCGATCAGGTCTAGCACCGGTGGCCTCGCCTTGGCATCCCTGCGTGCTCCACCGACAGGAACACTGAGAGGAGCTCTTGTGTCAATCACTTCCATTTCTCTCGTCAACCCATCTGTACAGCTCTAACTCAATT